ATCGGTAATCTTGCTTTTCGCCATTTGTTTTTTTTTTCTCCAGATATAAAAAGATCTTCATTCTCCTCATTTAGACAATACCAAAGTTTATTGTATCAGGAATAGTCAGGAAAGTCTGAAGTGTGACTCCAGCAGAGAAAAATAGAGAAAAGAAGAACACTTGCTCAAATCTAACAAACGTTTGCATGAAAGCAACTGTTCACCAAGAATAATTCGAGCTCGACTCAAAAATCCAATTCAAAATGGAACGATAAACCCAAAAGACTCCAGCCTTCTTGGGTGTTCTTCTGATCAACATTCCACGCTATGAAGATGGTACATTGGGTCACAGATTGTTGTATCCCCTGTCAAAAATCCAAATTCAATAAACATGTGGTTAGTCCTGTCGGCAAGTAGAGTAGCACATCAATATTGATATCGTCGGACCTTTGCCATCTTCAAATGTTTTTTTTTTATTGCCTAACATGCATAGACCGATTTTCCAGATGTGAAGAAGCATTCCCTATGGAATGCACATACGTGCTGAAACAGTGGCTAGGACTCTCTATAATGGATGGATAATTAGATTTGAAGTACCTTCCAGAATAACCACCAGTAAACCCACGCTCACAGATAGGTAACTCAACAAAAAACTCCAACCACCAGCCAAAACAGAAGAGAGGAGTAATCAAAATGTTAGATGAGAGAGTACGATGTATCTGTGAACCTGGGAGTTCTCCTGAAGAATGCCTTAGGAAGAAAGAAACGGGTACAGCGAAGGAGAATTTTATCGGGCCATACAGCCCAGAAGAGAAAACGCCAAAGTAACCCCATCTAGGCTCGTCGAGCCTTCCCTTTGTCAAAAATTTCACAAACCTGGTTGGGAAAATCTTAGAGAGACACGACGTGAATCAATATTTAGGCCAATTAAAACTATTAGAAAAAGTCTGTCATTTATAGACCTCAGAGAACCTCCAAAAACACCCGGGATAAACCGTACTCCTTGTAGCTGCGAGTTGGTCTACATTGGAATCATGAGAAGAAGTGTAGGTATCCGTATCTGAACACAACTCCAACAGGAGGAGAAAATTGTAAAATATAACGCCACTTTTCCTCAATAATGAGGTCATTACATTTGGAACGGAGTTGAAATATCTCGGCATTGTCCTTGATAAAAACGATCACTAGGGAAACGTTTTACACAAAGCCAGACTGTCCATATGGACAAGTCAAATGATTTGTGTTAAAACTTGGGGTTTAGGTACCGAACAAATCCATTGGATTCATGTGATGATTGTCAGACCAATGATCACGTAAGGTGCATTTGCCTGATTGCCGAAGGCTTTACAGAAAACCGCTCAGGCGAAGCTCTGTGGCTTACAGAGACAGGCTTGTCTGACCATCAATGGTGCCATCAGTACCAAACTGTCAGCGACCATAGAGATCCTTCTAGATCTACCTCCTCTCCATGACTAGATTGACTGCATATAGACTTGTGCATATTGTCAATTGCACAGACTGTCGGTTGACATTGGAAGTCACATCATTCTAGAAATGATCTCAGGTTTGGTGCAGGTGTTTTCAGACTCAAGCCCAGGACAGAAATATCAAACTGCCTAGGAACCTATGCGACTGTATTTCAAGCGGAAATTTACGGCCATTGAATTATGTGCTTAGGGACTGGAAGAATTCAACTTTGGACACACGTCAATAAAAATATTTTCGGACACTCAAGCGACGTTGAAAGCTCTTGGCTCCTACCGAGCAACATCTAAATTGGTATCAAATTGCCAAAAGCGACTCTCCTCGATAGGAAGACTCAACAGATTGTCTCTGGTGAATTCCCGGCCCTGCTGACCTGGAAGTAAATGAGGCTGCTGACTTTCTTGCAAAGGAAGGTGCTGTAAGTAGCTTCATCGGACCAGAACCTGTCAATGGTATCGCTCTAGGCTTCGCCAAACAGAGGTTGAACATCTGGATGGCATATATGGACTTCTGGCATAATCTGCCAGTATTGGCTCACTCCAAGGCGTTTATTCACTTTTCGGACCTTCATACAGAACAGGACTATTATAGTAGGGATGAATTACGATGTCTAATGGACCTTCTCACTGGTCACTGTCATTTAAATCATCATGCAGAGACTGCGCTGTCGGAAGACACTGTGTGTCGCCTCTGTTTGGAAAATGATGAAACAGACGAGCACATACTTGGCCCACTGGAGATCGAATCAGGTTTTCAGAATTTGATCCATCTGACTTGAAAAACCACTCACCGTACAAACTTATCGTCTTCGTTGAAAAGCTGCGTCTAGTTTATCGAGTGTAAATAGGTGGAATAGACCCACTGACTTCGGACCTAACCTAATCTAACCTTTGAACACAAATGAAATTATCGACTCGAACGACAAATCAGCTGTAGCCAAACATGTTCTTAACAAAGACGGTATTTCCGTTATCTCATTCGGAGATACAGTAATACTCCATGGAACTCAAAATTATTACCCAAGATTATATATAGTCTGGCTTCCACACATACCTTGTTTATTTGTTTTTTTGATAATACTTCCATGTAGAACTCACGTGTAGTAGTAGTAATAGTAGTAATCTTTATTATAGGATACATCCTAATCTTACAAGACATAATAACTAATTAACAATTTAAATTTCCACAGTGCCAAAAATATTAATAAAATTCAAATATACGTATTTAGACTATAACCTAACAACCACTGTATCCAATCCTACTTTGGTCAAAAACTGTTCTCAATATTATTTTCTTTCTCGAAAATTCCGTAATACTATAATCCCTCTTTTGCGTTTCACAATGAATGTACTGGAATCATCTAGTACACACTCTAAAAGCCCTCCCACGTCAATTTACGTACTGCTGAACCGGCTTTGGATGTAACGATATTGAGTTCGACATGTTCACTCGACGCTCTGCTCGCTCTGTAGCTCAATAAATCGTAAACCGATTGATTTCATGCACTGTATTGTTGAATTATTGGAGCAATATGAGGGTTTACTGTAGCACACAGCTTTTTGGAGCACTTAAGCTTTATTGGTTGGCGGGGTATTGTGGTCATTCGTGGACCCAGCGTAAATCATCGATTCTTTTTTTCGTAAACAAATCATTCGGAAGAGTCGCAATCACTTTGCCACTGATGCGTACCTGTCAGAACAGGAGCCTTCGACGAATAGCTTCATTCCATTTGGAATATTTCCATCCAAGAGATGGTTTTTCGCTATTATTGCGCTTGCGATTTATAATAATTAGATATAAACAAAGGTAGGTGATCCGTTAAGCAGCTGTTGCCCTCTCAGAAATCGGAACTTGTGCGAGCTGAGGATCAACGAGGTCCTAGCATGTCATGACAGGAAGATTTCATTGATTGAATTATATTTCGAATGATTTTCACGAAGAAATTGATTTTTTGTTGATAAAAATATCGGTGAAGCTCAAACAATTGGATATTATCACAGGTGATATCGAGGATTTTATATCCATATACATATATTATTTTTTCTGTAGCAACTTTTTTATTTTTCATCATATTCTTCTGCCACAGATGTTAACTTCCACCCACCATGCCTTTTCATAAAATTCTGCATTTGGAAGTTCAATAAATGTTGCGATTACCCATCTTTCAATACTCAATCTGCTCGCAACGTTGAAAACAATTTTTATTTTGAACCGACTGATGCGATAGAGTTGAGAGCCACTATACAATCAATTAAAAATAAACGAGCGGCGGGAATTGACGATCTCTCTGCCACTCTATTTGACAATATTCCAGACGATGCTCTTAATATCTTAGCTGAACTTATAAACCGATCCTTCAATCTGGGCCTATTTCCAGAGTTTTTAAAAATTTCCATTGTGGTCCCAATTCATAAAGGTGGGAACAGTAGCGACCCATCGAACTTTAGGCCTATAACTCTAATTCCCACCCTGGCCAAAATAATCGAGAAATTGGTGCAGGAAAGGTTGCTAAGGTTTTTATGCCGAAACAACATACTAAGCGAGGATTAATTCGGATTTCAAAAACGCAAGAATACGAATGATGCCATATTGGCGCTAATGACCAAAGTCTACAAACGAATTAATGAAGGGCAATCAACCGCGGCAGTATTCTGCGACCTAACCAAGGCCTTTGATTGCGTAAATCACCAAATTCTGTTAAAAAAACTTGATTATTATGGTTTCAGAGGAATTAGCCTGCAGTGGTTTAGATCTTACCTGGAGAATCATAGCCAGTTGGTAAAAACTGACCACTATTCACGTATTGGAGCTACTAGATGTGGTGTGCCTCAGGGTTCGGTACTGGGACCTATTTTATTTTTGTTATATGTCAACGATATCTCCCATTTGAATATATCTGGGAGATTCACGTTATTTGCAGGTGATACCACTATACTTTGGCACAGTAGTGATGAAACATCTTTACACAGTGTAATACAACGTGATCTCGAAACAATAAGAACTCGACTCTTATGTTGCCTATACCCAAAAGTCGCCTTGTAAAGGACTCTATTATATATAACAGCTTGAAAATATACAACTACCTTCCAGCAAGAATTAGGGAAATCAAGAATTATAATAGATTCAGAGGTAGTGTGAAGGTTTTACTCTTTGATCATCCCTTCTATAGCTTGGATGAATTTTTTTATAGCAATTCTCCTACACACACACACATAAACACACAAAATCTCATATGAAAAAAAAATCTGAACGATCCATGCACCAGACACTTCAAGGTCACAACGCCTTGACTTCACTGCACAACAAAAAAACTTCACCAAACAACAACCAATAAAAAAAGCAATTAATACGTCATAGTGGTGGGGGGAGGCCGAGAATCAGCTGTAAACAACTACTGATACTCCTTTTTTTTACACTTTGCGATTGTTCGAACTCATAGAACATAAATTGCAGATCAGCGTGTTTCATTTTCATTTTCATACCTTGTGTACTGCTGTCTGTCCATGGTTTTCCCAACATATAAATATCATTTCCAGATGCAGAAGAGTAGCCCGTACAAGGTAGTCCTGAAGAACGTGCAACCTGAAGTGACGGGTAGATACAAATGCGAAGTATCTTCGGATGCCCCCAATTTTTATACCTACATGCAGTCAGGGTACATGTACGTCATTGGTGAGTATTGTAAAGTTTGAAATTCATGGAATTTGTTTTGGATTTGGTCAAACGAAATCGCGGCAATGCTATTTGATCAACAGATCTAGTATCATAAGTTTGAATATCGGAGGTGAAAGAATAGTTTCTTTCATTTTCGTGTATTTCACAGACAGTTTGGGAGATGTTAATACATGGAAGCGTCACTATTCTCAGTTTAACAAATGAGTCACGGTAGTGAGTTTTAGTACCTACTCCGGTTATCAGACGTATAGCCTTTGTTTGAGACCTGAAAATTTTTGCGGTATGGCAGGAATTACCCTATAAGATTATGCCAAAATATGTATTTCTCAGTATTTCTGGATTGACAACACATCGTAGCCTCCTCATTAGGAACAAGATACTAGTTAGACGTGTATTCAAATTTTCTGTATGCATATACCAATTAAGGGAGTCATCGATTGTAGTAACGAGAAGTTTGTAATGTTTACATGTTGTATACTTGATGTTACTTGAAATGAATGATTTTTGAGTCTTCTGTTCATTAAATTGCATGAAGTTGGCGATAAACCAATTTATCGCATCGTTAATGGTTTCATCAGCCATAGAATAGAATAGAATTTATCCATCATTGAAATATCGTACAAATATAACATATACATTACTGGTACAACATTTATCAGACTAGTCACACAAACTGATGAAAAAGCAGCTTATACATTCAAATCTCAAAATTCTTTGGCATTGTAAAAGGTATTTTCTAGGAGAAGGTCTATTGAAGATTTTTTTGAATGTATTGTGATTTTCAATGTTTCCTAGCAACCTATGTTAGTTGCTTTGTTATAACATATGACTCCTTGATAGCTTACCGAGTCTTGCCCAAGGATTAATCGTGAGTAAGGTAGTCTCAGTTCATTTCCTCTGCGAGTATTGTGATCATGTATCATACTGTTTTTTGTATGGTGTGATTCATTCCTTCTGATATTCATAGTTATGAGCAAAATATATAAAGACGGTTGGTAGTGTTAAAATAGCAAGATCTTCAAAAACTGTCTTGCATGATTGTCGACAATGTATGCCAGCGATACATCTAATTATTCATTTTTGTATAACAAACACTTTCGTTAGGTATCCCAGAATATTAACCTATTTGAGATATTAGATTGTACTAATCCGAAATAGTCCAATTTGAGTACTTCTAGAGATACTGTTCCATGTAGTTGTCTTATTAGTTTTGTTATTAGATAATCTGTGTGTTTTCGCCAAGTTAACTTCTGATCAATTACTAACCCTACTTATATTGATTCACCTGCTTTTTAGATCTATGATGTATTTTTTTAGTGAACAATGGTTATTAGTAAGATTATTTTGTTGATAATTCATAGAAACA